TCCGCCCCACTTTGCCCTCCTCTGCCAGAGGAAGGGGGCAGCTGTCCATCCAGCCTCTGAGCGGCAGCTACCCTGTGACAGACGTCTTCTGAATGCCAGTAAATGTGATTTGCCATTGACATATGTCAAAACTCCTCTATTTTTACCAGCCTGAATCCTTTCCTGCAACCTGGAAGCCCCCAAAAGGCTAAAAACTGAAAGTCAGAGTGTTAGGGAGATGGTTGGGTAGGAGGGGGGCATCTGGTGGCAAAACTGAGCCCAGCTTGCTGCACTTGACGTCAGCTCAGCCTGGCGACGGGAGGTTTCTGGTGGTCTCTATCTATCTCACTTATGCTGCCGTCCAGATGCTCAGCTGCAGAGATATTAGTGTGGGCGGTTATGGAGTGAGCCCTCCGCCTCTCCCCCACCCCCCTGTGTGTGTGTGTATATGTGTGTGTGTGTATGTGTGTGTGTGTCTGTGTGTGTGTCTCTGTGTGTGTATTCCCCACTCAGGATTACAGCCCGAGTTCTGGAATGCTCCTGGCTCCCCATGTTCGTTCCAGATGTGGGTGTGAATTGACATCTGATGATGTCTGGGAAGAGTCTCACCTGCCCGCAGCTTCATTCCCCACCCTGCTACCTCTCTCCCCCCTCAGGCTGTGGTCCTAACCCCTCCCCCACACACTGAGCCTCCAGGCTCAAGGTTAGTGCTGTGCCCGGAACTGCCCACTTGCCTGTCGGTGCCAGCCACCCTGCAGCTGGAGGCAAAGGTGTCCATCCTGCCCGCCACCCGCACGCTTGCTGCCTCCCCGCCCCGCCCCCACACCACACACTGCTGGCTGAATCCTCTGCTCTTTACACAGATTTTTTTTTGGCACCAGAGCCTCACAGTCAGGGAGCTCAAAACAGAAGTTTTCCCCGGCAAACTGCCTCATCCTAAAGCTTGCAGAGAAGCAGACACGGAGGCCCCGAGCCAATCCGCTATGCCCAAGACCTGGACTTCCCTAGCAGTGTTCTGTGTGGAGCTAGAGAGGAAGAGCTGGAAGGAGAGAGCATTAAGGATTTCACGGGGCCCGATTAGCAGAGGGAGTCCTGGCCTTATAGGCTATGCAGCCCTCGTGGAGATAACCCTGAAATGTACATCATAGGTTCTACAGTAGCACGGTATTACTAGCCAATGCTGCTGGCTGCTGGCTGTGTGCCAAGTCCTATTCTAAGCAGTTGATGTGACCCCATCATTCAATGCTTGCGACGCCTTGCGAGGTGTCTGTCGCTATTCTTATCGGACAGTTGAGGAGATGGAGGCTCAAAGAGGCTTAGGTAAGTTGTTCAGAGTCACACAGCCCATCTCTGGGGTAACCAGGAGCTCATCTCCGGCTGCTGGACTCTAGAACCCCGATTCTTGACCACCCATGTGTCATTATCTGTTGCCATGGTAATGCTGGGCAGCAGATGCCTGCGGAGCCTCCTAGGCAGGCAGCAACAGCAATGGGTGCTTTGTGCTCACCCGTCTGGGGGGATGCTGGGGCAGCTGTGTTCACTCACACATCTAGGGCTGGCTGACTGTTAGCTAACCCAGGCTGGCCTTACAGGCACACCAGCGGTGGCTCAACCCTGTCCCCTGTCGGCCTCCAGCTGACAGCTCAGCAGGTTCCTGTGGGTATATCAGAAGCCCTGTGTGCTGTCCTTGAAGGCTGAGAGAGGTTTGGTGACCTCTGGTCACTTTTTCGTCTTTTCCAGTTCCATGGCCAGCCAGTAACTCGGTCAGGAAGCAGAGAATGGCTGCCTACGGAGAGACACTGAGTGTGGACAGGGAGGGGTGAAAAGCTGAAGCAGGGTCTCAATTCACCACATCACAAAGGGTCTCTGCTCTTTCAGCTTTGCAAAGTCTGGGCCCTCCTGGGTCCCTCAGTAGTGCAACCATAGACCCCACCTTTGTGGACGTCCCACCTGATGTCGTGGAAGGGGTTATTTGAAAGCCACCATTGCCCCCGTCACTTTAGTGTCTACAACAGCAGTTGAAATGGTTGCCGGCAATGCTGTGCGACTTTGGGCTTCAGACAGGTGCCTTCTGGTTCCCATGAGGACGTTTGTCTGGCTGGCTGCAGACAGGAGCTGCAGGGTGGGAGGGCCTGACTCCTTCTTCGCTGTGCCAGCTGCTGGGTGCAGTTCCTAGCTCTGTGCCTGGTTCTTAATAGGTGCTTGAAGCAATGGGCCACAAGCAGGATGGGTGAGCTGGTCTCCTTCCCCACCTGCTGGGAGTTCAAAATGGCGGCTACCTTGTCCAACTACATACTGAGTTTTGATCAGCCAGGATAGATCTAGAAATGCCAGGGTGTTCGTGATGGCATAGCATTGAGCGTATCTGTGTTTCTAAAGAGGATTAGGGGAGTACCAGAAGACCCATCCTGGATATGGGAAGACCCATCCCATGGACTTGGTTCCCCAAATGAACATGAAGGGGGAGAGGAGAAGTCAGCTGAGCACAAACACTCGTCTCTTCCTCTTGGTCTGCCAGGCTGTGAGCCAGCGGCTTCCGGTTCCTACTGCCACTGACCCAGGTGTCTCCTGCCACCATTCCTTCCCCACCACGGTGGGCTTAACCTTCAAACCATGAGCAGCACAGACCCTTCCTCCTCTAAGTCACTTATTTCAGATACTGTTCACAGTGGTGGAAAAAGGCAGCAACAGCTACAATGAGCTGTACCCAGGCCTTGTTCTATTGACTTGCACGGTCATCTTTGGAAGATCTAGGCGGACACTTAGTGTTCCAGCCATCTGGGAGCACATCTGGGCAATGGCATCCTGTCCCTCAGTACCAGCTGCCTTCTGCCAGTCACACTGGCTTGCACACACTGGCATGCTCAGCCAGGCTGCCCGAGCACTGTCCGTGGGACTCACTTTCCTCATGCGTAAGCCAAGGGGCTTTCTAATGTCCTGGAAGATTCCTTTTGATTCTCTGAACTCTTGACTGACATCTTATGGATAGGAGGAGAGACCTACTTATATCGCTCCTCTTCATCCCCGTCCTACACACACACACACACACACACACACACACACACACACACAAACACATATGTGTGTAGCCCAGCAGTTATGAACATACATACACAGAAAACTAATGCCTTTTCCAAATCCTGGCTTGTCTAGGAAAAAGGGGTGGAAGAGAGAGCATCCTTAGCTACCTCAGTGCTCTCTATATTTGGTATGTCCTCCCTGACTCCATATGCCCCAGGACGGTAGTCACCATTTCTGCCCACCTACCTAAGGATCCCATCCCCATGCTGGCATGTGTCTCCACCACCAAGAAGGGCCAGGCTGAACTCCACTCATGGTTGCTTAGAGCCCGCCAATGACTTCACATCAGTGTCTGACAGCAGGAATGGGAATGACACTCAGTCACACTGAAAACAGGCTGGACCTGGTGACAGGTGGTTTTTCCTCTCGCCTTCCATGCAGACCCCAGGCCCCTTCATGTCATGCCTATCAGATTCCAAAAGGGAAAGAAACTGCCCCAACTGGTGCCATCAAAGCTGTCAGTCACTGCTCCCTGTGCTGGCCTGTGTGGATTTGATGCCCTAGCAGCCTTCCTGCCAATCACACCTCATTCTCCTGCTGAGGCTGTACCTTCGATACTTCAATATTTACCTGACAAGGCAGGGTGGTTTCCAGGCTCTCCATTGCAGGCAGAATAGGCCTGGAAGAAAGCAAGGGCTGTATCATCTTGGGACACCGGGCCCCAAAGATGCCGAAGTGTGAGAACGCAAGGTCCTTGCAGTCCACGCAGGCACTGAAGGATGGCTCCTCTGCCTGCCTCGTGCAGTTGGAGATAGAGAATGAACCTTCCTGGGCTTCCATGCAGTATCTGTTAGCAGAAGCATCGTTCCATCTCTGAGTTCCTGACAGCTATGCAGAAGCATTGCCTTTACACAATGGCGCCTGTCACGTCCGTGTCAGCCGCTCTGCCTCACGGAGGACGTCGCACTAAGGTAGCTAATTCGTGACAGCTTGCCTAGGCTTTTCCCAGTTTCAGTTCAGAAGGCTCCTAGGTGAATGACACTCTGTCTCTGTCTCTCTCGGTCTCTGTCTCTCTCTGTCTCTGTCTCCCTCTGTCTCTCTCTCTCTGTATATGTATGGAAGCATGCATGTAGAGGCCAGAGGTCAATTGCTCTCCGCCTTACTTTATTTGCTTGCGCCTATGTCTATGTGGAGGCATGTTCGTGTCCCGGCATGCTAGCAGAAGTCAAAGGACACCCCTTGGAAGTCAGTTCTCGCCTTCTTCCCTGGGATCCAGGACCAAGCTCGGACTGTCAGATCTGTGTAGCAAACACCTTCGCTTGCTGAGCCGTCTCCCTAGCCCTCAACCTTACATTTTGAGGCAGGGACTCACACTGAACCTGGAGCTCACTGAATCAGCTAGACTGGCTAGTCAACAAGCCCCAGGGAGTCTAACCTCCCCTCAGGGCTGTGACTACTAGCATGCACCACTGTGTCCAGCTTCTGCAAGGGATTTGAACTCAGGTCTTCATGTTTGTATGAAAGGCGCTTTACTGCCTGGTCCATCTCCCTTCTCCTGACTACCAGGTTTTAAATGTGAAGGTTCCACACTCTGGTCACCACTACCATCCCAAGCTATTCTGGGCTCTTGCACACCCGAGATCTCCACACTGCTGCTTTCCCACCCCTGTTTACCGCGCACACCCAGAGTGGCCAGATGACCAGTCCATAAACACAGTGGCTGCCCCATCAACCTCAGGTATGAGGCCTTAATTGAAGCCTGTGGCCCCTGTGTTATATGGAGATAGTTCTGCCTCCTGGGGCTCTGGACAGGTATCCACGGGTCACTGTAAGATATCCCAGGTCACCAATGACCCTGACATGTTCATCAAGTGCCTGAAGTGGCAGAGGGCATCTTGAGAGGGGGTCTAAGACTTCCTAGAGAGGTGTAAACAGATGTCTGTACATTCCAGGCAGGGTACAGACCAAAGAAACAATCCAAATTGTGTCCAGTGAGAGTTGATTGACATTACTTAGAGAATATCTCCAGCATCACCAAAGAGCCCACTCCCACCTGTATGGGTTGTCACCAGAGTCACATCCCTGGAGCTCCCTGTGTGAACTGAAGGCATTGAGTTTTTTCCCAAGTCTTTTTACTGTAGCAATTGATCCTGCTGAAATAACTTTGGGGTGGGGTCTTGGAATCTTGTAAGTCTGGGGAACTCCCTGAGACTTGTGAGTTTCCTTGACTTCTGGGCCTTAAGGAAACACAGCCACAGAAGAGGCTGGGCTGTGGAAAAGATGTTCCATGGGGCCATTGTGAAAGATGGGGCTCTCTGGTGGCACCTTCTCACCACATGGCCACAGCCTTAATATATGCACCTACAAATAACCGGAGCCTGTTTCTGAGAGCTGTAGTGAGTGGATATGAGGCTGTGCACAGAGTCCTGCCTCTGGTTCCCTCTCCAGAGGGCACTCTTGCTGCCCATACCAAGACAGTGCTGCTGTCCTCTGCCTGTGTGACCAGACCAGCTCCCTTCTGAACCTTCTGGCATGGGTTGAGTGATTTGGGGGACACTGAACCTCAATGAGCAGAGACGCCAACAGTTCTTGTCAAGGTCTGACTGTACTGACATAGGGAGGGTCTCTTCATACTCCCCTAGCCTAGAGCTAGACACTGGCTGTACTTGAGCCTGCAGGTTACACCAGGCATTTGACAGTCACTGAAGTTCCTCAGAGGACAGGGATATGCAGGATGGAGCAACAAGACCACCCACTCATGCCTTGGTAGGAGCTGCTGTCTGCTCCCAGGCTGGAGGAGCCCCTGGTCAGGATTTCTGGCCCCCACTGCACCCCACAGTTACTTCCCCACTAAGAGCTAAAGAGATCTTCTAGCCACAACACACCAGGCCTCTGCTTTAAACCTCCCCGTGTCTCTTCATGACAGCGAGAAAATAATCCAACTTCCTTACGGGACCTCATGGGACCTGACTCCAGATACTACCACAACTCCTTCTGTCACCAAGCTCGGTACAGGCTCAGTACTGACAATTGTGTCCCTCGCCGGACCTTGACAGCTGCTCTGATTGTTATTTTCCCTCCTGACCCCCTACCACGCACCATCCCTCTTACCACCCAGGTTTTACGGAAGACCCACGTTCCCTAAACGTAATCCTTAGGCGATCTCCTAGCTACTTGTGCCTGACTCTTTCAGCGGCTTGCTTTCTATCGCGGGGCCCACTAAGTGTTCCCTTTGCCTGTAGGTCTCTGGTGGCTGGAGGCATGCCTAGCTGTCTCTCACCAGGCCGAGGCCAGAGGTCACACAAGGCAGTGACTTTCCTCACCTTGGGAAGGACGCTGTCACACCCCATTTTACAGGTGGGGAACCTGGAGCCCCCAGTGTAGGGAGCCCCCAGTGTAGATGCCTGTTCTGCAGCCCCCAGGGGGCCAGTCCATCAGGAATGTGGGCCCAGGGCTGCATACCTCTACTCCGACATGTTCCCTGCGCCCTCTCTTCAGCCATTCTGTCCATGCAGTCCTGCTGCCCTCGGAACAAGAAAACAAAACGCGCCAGACCTATAATGAAAAGAAAATGGGATTTTTTTCCCTGTTTGTAATAATACCAAGTGTTTGTTCAAAGCCAGGTAAAGATTTTTTTTAATATGCTGAGTGATCTTTATTGAACAGCATCCTTATAATAAGAGCTCACCCCAACTCTCCAATTCTCTCTCACTAGAAGAACATGCCACCTGTTGAGCAGAGGGACAGTGGGAATTCTGTGTATCACCCCCCCAAAGGCCCACGCTGGGAGTCATCTCCACTGTGGTCTATAGGACAAGGGTCACCCACCCTCTGGGCTCCGGCAGGGAGTCAGGGATTCCGGGTGAGACCAGCTCCGTAATCAATGTGTTGCTGTGTGTTGTGCCATGAGGCAAGTTTCTTAGCGTATCTGGGAGATGTCCACAAGGTCCTCCTGGAAGAGGATTCCATCTGGGCTGAGAAGATGGCTCAGTTGGTAAGGTGTGAGGGTCTGAGTTTGAACTGTTAGAATCTAAGCAAAGATCTATGTGTGGTGTTGCACCCCTGTGACTCCAGGAGGGGAGACAGAGACAAGAGGATCCCTAGATGCTCTCTGCTTGGCCAACTTGGCCCATTAGGCAAAGCTCCAGGCTAGAAGAGACCCTGTCTCAATAAACAAGAGAGACAGACTGGCCTGAGGAATGACTCCCAAGGCTGCCCTCTGTGCTTACATATATACAGGTGCTCACACACAAACACTCGTACATGCACACACACTCATGCACCCACCCACACCCACACACACACTCACATACACATGCACTCACACACACACACACACAAGCTTGAAAGGGGTCCTAAAGGTTTTTGCAATTCATTCTAAGTAAATATCATCTCAAAAGAAAAGGAGACTCATTAATGGGCTATGTACTCTAAATTGAGGCATCTATGCAGGAGATTTAGGCGCTAAGTGAACTGATGTGTGCACCTTACCAAGCAATGGGTCCAGTGAGTGAGGCAGGTGGATACCAGAAGAGACAGAGACCAGACTCATCCACAGGCTTCTGTCTCAGTACAGAGGCCGGGCGCCAGGTCAACCGAGGCTGGCTTTTACATCCTTCACACTCTACTGGGTGTTTGAATATGCTGAGACACAAAGAACAGCAACGGAAACACAAAGTCACAGGGTCTCACCCAGGGCTCAGCACCTCAGATCCCCATCTGGGCAGTGTGGAGGGCGCCCCTGATCCAGGGCTGTCCCCAGGACTGATTCTAGAGGACCCCAGCCTCCTCTCCTGAGCTTGAAGCTCAGTCATCCACTCTGATGGGCCATGCTTACCCATCCATGCCAAATGAGGACACCCCTCCCTCCCTCCCTACCTAATAGACTTCTTCCATCTTCTTTAATTTGATTAATTGTCCAACTCCTCCCACTACAACACAGACTGCGGAAGAAGAGAGGCAGCACAGCCTTGCTCCTAAAACAGTGTCTGGCACAGAGTAGAAACCCAGGGCATCCTTGCTGAATGAGAACTAAGTGACGGTAACCTAACTGTAGATTCCTGCCACCCGAAGTCTACCTACTGCTCAGACCTCCTTATGGCAGATAGGACAAAGAAACCAGCCATCCTAGTTCCACTGGACAAATGAGGAAACTGAGGCCAAGAGGTAGAATGTAAATTTCCCATTATGCCCTGCCGGTGGCTGAACAGAGGTGGATCCCAGGTTCTCAGTGATCCTTTCAGAACTCTTTTCTCCCTAAGCAGGCTGCTGAGCTTGTGTTAAAGGGCCTGTCCCCGGAAGCAACCAGCAGATGGACAGGCGGACAGGCTCCGCTTGGCTGAGCTGCCCACGATGCCGTGTTAATTACACAGGGCGGGAGATGCCAGCCAACACTGTCTGCAGCGTAGCTGCCCTGGTATAGCAGGTGCACAGGCTGGCATGGGCTGCTGATGGCCACGGCCATGGATCTGCTGGCAGCCAGACCTGCTGACATGGCCCAACTGTTTGCAGCACCACTGGGCATGGGGGCCCAGCCACCTTGTCCCAACAAGGGCTCTCCCCAGGGACGGGCATGCTTCCCGATGGTACCAGTTGTCCTGACTGGCTCAAGCCAGGCAGCTGTCCTCCACTGACAGTGTCCACACAGGTGTGCTCTCAGACAGGATGGCACAAGGCTTTGGGGGCCGAGTACTGGGAAACTGTAGAGGTGTCGTAGCAGGGCTCTAAGACAGAGCCTTGCACACAAATACCCAAATCCTGGGACTAGGACTTAGCTAGGACCCAATCAGGACTCTGTTAAACCCTATAGCCGGCCTACTCCTAAGATCCGATGATCTAATTAATGGCCCCAAAGAGGACCCAGAAAACGATCTCAGTTCTCACAACCTCACCCCATGTCTGGGCACTAGTTTGAGATCCACTGTTTTTACAGCAGTTTGGGGACTAGTTGGCATCCCTGGACTCTGTAATGGCTTCTTTAATGCTTTTGGGGGCTCCCCATCTCCATTCGGTGGCATAAACAATGCCAACAGTGCCACATCCCAAAGCGGACAGTGGGATTCCCATTCTCCCCGAGGTCTGACTACCCACCACACAGAACCCAGAGCATCCTCCGGTGCCCTCGGGGTGTGCTTCTCCTACCCCTGACTTACAGCTAAGGAAAGTGAGGCAATGAGATGTGGGATCTTGAAGTGAGCTCTCACCTCAGAGAGCAAACGCTACCCAACTCGGCTCTGCAGTGTGGATTAGGGCCTCGCAGCTCCCCATGGCTGCTGCAGCTCAGGCTCTTCCACCACATCCTGGGAGTCGTGATGCTCTCCAGCTGACTCCCTGAGCTCTCCCACGTGGTCCTGGTGATTGCGCTGGACTCTGAATCCCCAGTGCCTGGCCTCAGCCCTGAGGCACCTTTTGTGTCTCCCACTTCCTGTTTGCGATAGGGAGGAGGGTACCCAGGAGGTGATGTGCGACCCTCATGTAGCTGGTGGAGTTTAAAGGCTTAGGGGATCTAGCTAGGTGTGGGGGGTGTAGGGACAGCCAGCCTGGTGCCCTTTCACTCCTGTGGAAACAGCCTGGCATCATCAGAAATCTACATACCCTGCCCCGGCTACTATCTCCAGTTTCTCCTCCTTGAGTCATAGATCAAGGAGGGAACATAACAACTGGGGTTGCCACTGTGGGGGGGCAGAGTACACACCCACCATGTGTCACAGACATGCACATACCCCACTCCCCATAAAAAGTACAAATATTTACACACACATACACACATACATACACACACACGCACACACATGTGCACACACACACATGTCATTGGCAGCTCAGTACGTCTGAGCCCCATAGACCCATCCCCACCATGCCCCAGAACATAGGCTTTCACAACAGTGCACCTGACTGAGCTGGCTCCCCACCCTCTACCATCTCCCCACCCCTACCGTTAGTACAGCCATCACACCTGCCCGCTCACCTGCCCACATGGCAAGCCCAGAACCCACGAGGAAGCTGGCAGTCACTCTGCTCTCCTCCTCTACCGTCACCAGCCCCCCCCCCCCGCAGTCCTGTCCCTGAGCGCCTGTCTGCCATCACACCATAACCAGATGAGACAAGGCAATTTATGATACCAGCTGTCTCTGTCAACACCGGATCTCCCACACACGCCAGGGAAGCCAATCTCCCCAGCCCAGCCTTGCCAGGAGCGGGAGCGAACGGAGTTGGCACAGGAGGGTGGAGTCGGTACCAAGGGAGGTGGGTGGCTCTTGACTTCTCCTCCTTGGCTGTCACCCATCCTCCTTCATGCCTGCGTCTGTGGCGACAGCTCCCCACCAGAGCAGAGAGCAGGTGGGCAGGAGCTTTACAGGAAGAGTGGTCCAGGGTCTCCATGGCAATAAGACCACTAGAAACTCTGTGACCTCCCAAACCCAAAGGACTATTAAGTGGCTCCATCAAGGTCCCCTGGCTTCCCTCCACATTCAGGCTTTCTGCTCCCTTCCCAGGCATCTTTGTCCAGATTCCTCTCCCCTAAAATACCTGTCCCTTTCTTGGCCAAGCTCCTGGCCTTGGCCCGGTTCCCCACCCCCACCCTGAGGCCTTTCTATAGAATCCTCGGAGTCAGACGCAATGCACGCTCAAATGTCCACTTCACCTCATGCCAGCCGGGCAGCCTGGGCAGGTGACATTCCTTCTCTGACTGCAGTTTTACTTCTAGAATTTGAGTGAGTCTTTGCCACATGCTTGACTCTATTATAGAATTTGAACTCATAACCCCCTCCCCTCTGCCACACCTCATTCACTCCCACCCTACCCCCACCAGCACACGCAGAAGACAATACTAGCTCCATGCTGCCGCCCTGCTGGAGGAAACAGAAAACACAGAGAGAGAAGCCAGTCCCCCCACTGTCCACATCTGCTTGGCTATAGTTAACTCAGTGCAAGCCCAGCCTTGCAAGACAGATGCTAATCTTAGGCACACGAGGGACTCAAGCTGCAGCCCTGGGCCCAGTTCTACCTGAGTGGTCCTTCGATGAGGCTGTGTTGACCTGACTGATGTTGTTCTGGGCCAGCTCTCTTTGTGTAAGCATCAAAAGTGGTAATTAAGGACCGGGGCCCTGAGGAGCCCATGCCTCCCTTTGCTGAGCGGTACACTTAGCTAAATGTCTACTGAGGACCTAGTCTGCGTCTGTCTCCATGCAAGACATACAGGGTCACGTGGCATGAGGAAGGGACCGCTGGATGACAGTCACATGGTGGAAGTTTCTAGAATCGCCTTTCATTGTCTTCCGCAACGATCAGAATTGAAATTCAGTAGCAGTATCTACTTCCCTACATGTTTTTACAAGTGTATGCCTATTTCTTACAACATTTAAGACACGGTCTCACGTAGCTAGGCTTACCTCCGACTTCTTGTGTTGAGGATGACCTTGAACTTCTGATCTTCCCGCCTCTGCCTCCTGAGTGCTGGGATTATAGGTGTCCAACCTGGATTTTTATGCATGACCAGCAGGCATTCTATCCGCTGAGGTTCAGGGGTGTGCCATGGGATAGTCTGGTTCCGCATTCGGTCACTTACATTGTCTGATAGCTGCTCTTTTCACCCTCGGCGGTGCTAGGAGGCTAACCTCACTCTTTCTTGTTCACTGCCAGGGACTGTGAGTGGCCTTGCTGGGGACTTGAACCTGTGCCTGGCTGATGTAAGCTCCCAGGGGCCATCCCCGTCCCTCCACTTCTAATCAGTTCATTAAAGTCTGCCTTGCAAACACTCCCTTGCGCCACCCAGGACACGGAGACCTCAGCTGCTCCATTTCCAGGAGAGCGAATTCCTTCCCCGCTGGAGAGGAGTGGAGTAATGTAGGCAGGCAATTTAAACAGCTCCACAAACCCGCAGTTTCCACTCTCCGCCACTATTACACTTCCTGGCCGCAGCGGGATTGGCCCGTAAGTGGGATATCAAGTTTATTACAGCCATTTCCAACCTGTAATTGGTTTTGTGGAACACAAAGAGAAAGGCTGGGGGAGGAGAGAGGTGATCCCCCATTTTTTTCTTCATTTTTTTTCCTTCCCTTTTACAGATGGTGGCATCTAGGGGCATTGGTGAGAAGGCTGACTTTGAGGACTTATTTGTTTTTCAGAATTAAAATGTGGCTGGCTGACCAGTGGGCTCTCCTGCTGCTGGCTGGACTGCATCCGTTGGCCATGCGTCTATGAGTCGAGTCCACATGTAAATCCATGTGCCCACAGCCAGGGTTGCTGGTAGGGGGTGTGTCTGGCACTGATGGTGGGGTGGAGGGTTGTGACAAGCTGAGGTCACTTAGAGCCAGCTCTCTAGAGCAACAGCACTGGGGCCACACCTCTATAGCCACAGCAGTGGGACCACGCAGGTAGACAAGACTCTCCAGAGGCCACCAGGCCTCATTTTCCTCATGGAACATTTAGGGAAACTGAGGCCTGCATAGAGAACAGCATAGAGACAACTGAAAGCTAATTACTTGGGGGAACTCATAGCAGAAAGGCTGGCAGGGTAGGACCAGAAGAAAACACCTTTTTAAAGGCACCTACTATGTGCTGGCTGCCCAGCCTGGCCACACAACAATGTGGCCACTTGGAAGCTGATTGTCCCTAACACACATTGAACACGTTTGCATCTATGTGAGTCTGTGTTTACAGCAATGCTGAGCCCACACAGTAAGAACTCAATGAGTGCTGGTCGTTCAGCCCCTGCTCAGGACATTACTCTCCACAATTTCAGCTACCGGTGTGTGAGGGTTGAGCTTTACTGTCGGGGTAACTGGATTTAGAAGCGTCATAGAAACCCAGCTCTAGACATTTTTGCAAGAGAATTCCTAGATGAGGTTAAGTGAGGTGAGAAGACCCTCCCTGAATGGGGAAGGGACGACAAGGGGCGGGAGAGAGGAGGAGGTGGGAGGGAGGGAGAGGGAGCCCTAGACCTAGGTATTGGCTGGTACCACCCACATGCAGGGCGGCCCTTCCCCTTAGTTAATCCTCTGGGAACTTCTGACAACGACCCTCACAGGCACACCCACACGTGTGCCTCTCTAAGCCTTCCAGATGCTTCTCGGTCCACTCTAGCTGAACCTACATGCCTTCAAGGAGACTTCTGGGGTCACCTTTCCTCTCAAGGAACTCTGCACCCCCAGGAGCATCATGGGTAGCTCTTGGCATATGCCTGTCACAGCAGACCTGCCCTGTCCACTGATCCTGTAGTTGGCTGTGGCCTGAGCTCTGTCCCCACCAGATCCTGAATGGGGCACACAGTTCCTGCCTCCCTCTTGCCTGAGGACAGAAACTGTGCCCGTGTCTTGTATACTTACCACCCTTGACCACAGCTTATGGTCCAGGCTCAGCTCAGAACCTCTGACCAATGAGAGCGTCATAGTGCCCCATGGTGCATGCATGGAATCTCAGGGTTCAGTAGGCAGAGGCACCAGTCACTCTCAGAAGTTGGAGATCAGATTGGACTCCCCATACTGAGTTTCAGCACAGCTAGACACTGTCTCAAAAAAAGGAAAAGAAAAAAAAAGTAAATAAAACCATAGAAAAGCAGACTCGTCCTTGAGGCTCTCCTGCGCCTTGGCCTCTAGCAAGGATTTATGACTCAGGTAATTCTTCCTTGCTTTGTCTGGGGTGTGGGGGTGTGTGGACGTGTGGGGGGCGAGTGTATTTTCCTCGCCATAAAACCCTCAGTCCCAGTGAATAAATTTGAGGAGACAGTTTTACTGACAGATTTTTTTTTCCTCTGTTGTGTAATAAAAAAAATGGAGTGAAATTTGAGATTGGGACGATGAGGGCTGCGAGTTTCAGAAGGATATCTGAAGCTCTCTACCTGAAGGTAGGCAAGGCTGGAGCCAGAGGGCTGCCGAGAACCTGCTGCCTGCCCTTCTCAGGCTGCAGCTGCCATGCAAGGTGAGGCCAAAGGGCAATTAAGCGGCCTTGCCAGCCTGGCAGGACAGGCAGGGAGTGCTGGGCCTCAGCTGGGCCTTCAGTTGCAAAGTGGCTTGCGTGATGCTTGCCTTCCCAGGGTATGGGGGGAGGCAGACAGATGAGATGGAAGGTTTCCCACCTTGGCATGTATGTGCGTGTGTGTGCAGGTATGTGTGAACACGTGTACAGGGATGCAGGTTCCTGTGTGTGCATGTACACATGTATGTAGATGCTCATGGTATGTGTAGGCACAAGTATGTACATGTTTATGTGTGTATGCTTATGTATGTGTGCAGGTACATGTGCGTGTATATAGGTACACTTGTGTGTATACATGTTCATGTGTCTAGGTGTGTGTGTTTGCACCCGTGCACACATGCAATCATGCATGTGTTAAAGGCCAACCTTGTGCCCTTCCTCAGGTGCCCTCCATCTTGGTTTTTAAGCTGGCTCTCAGTGATTAGGACAGACTCAATGACCAGAGAGACCCAACTCCCCTGTGCTGGGATTACAGACATGGGCCACCATGCCCAGCTTTTTTACTGTGTGCTGGGGATTAAGCTACCTCCCCATGCCAATCCCAGCGTATCATCAGTTTGCTGAGGAATGTCTGAGGTGGGTCCTCTTCAATAAAAGCATCAGCAGTCTCTCTGGCCTGTGAGTTACATGCCAGGACCTTCAAGGTGACAACCAAGACTATCTCTAGAATATGTCCCCTGGCAGAGAAAGGGGTCATAATTGTCTCCCAGGGGCTGGAAAGGTGGCTCAGCAATTAAGATCACTTGCTATTCTTGCAGAAGACCTGGATTCTGTTTCCAGCACCCACATGGCGGCTCACAGCCATCTGTAACTCCAGTTCCAGGGGATCCAGTGACCCCTTCTGGCCTCCATAAGCACTGCACGCACATGATATACAGACATACTGACAGTCAAAACACCCCTATTCATAAAATAATGAAATAAATAAATAAAATAAATAAGAGAATTGTCTCCGTCTCTAAGGGGCCAAGAACGGTGGACCCACCCTGTAAGTTTGTTCTGACTTTGAAAGTAGCCAAGCCACTCAACCCTGCTTACCCCGGACCCTGCACCTGTCTGGTTCAGTCCACTGTGGGCATGCAGTGGTTAAGGCAACAGCCACAGAAGCGGGCTGTGGGTATCCCCAAATTGCATCCTTCCTGGGCAAGTGCCATCACAGAGAGCCTCATGCCAGTGAGACGCCACCTCCTCTCACACACCACAACTCTCCTCCTCCACGCTGCCACCCTACCGTGGAATCCGGGTCTTTCTGCAGAGCACGAGGCAAGAAGTCATATCTCTCTGTCCTCAGACTACACAGATGAGGACAAAACAGCCAATTTCAGAGGGGAACGGACCAAGTCATGAGCTAGGTAAGTCCAGAACAGTGATGAGAGGCAGACAGGCTTGGTGAGGGCTGATAGGAAAACCAGTCAGGGAAAGTCCTACTGCTGATCACACTGAGAGCCACCAAATCTATGAATGTGTTAGCATCCTTCTACCTACCACTGGTACTCACTGAGGTGTCCTAGTCTACGGGACAGTAACAGACGTGGCCAGTGCATGACACAGTTGAAGCCCCGTAGAAGCTGGCTGGTTGCACTAAACTGTGTGTCTTACTAAACCCACCAACATATAGTTGAAGGCAGCCTGGGTGCTGATAAGGCCAGTCCTCCCTGTTTGCGGGGGAGGGGGGGCGGGGGGGACGACGACAGATGCCTGGGGAAGCCACTCTCAGCATCTCCCCATCCCTGACCCACCTCCCTGGCAGCCCCCTCCCCTGCTTCTACCAGAGGAGCCGCAGGGAGTTAATTCTACTTCTCCAGGCCCAGGCATGAGGCCGCCCCATCGCAGGCTGTTAGTGTGGAGCCCAGCTGAGCGGCGAGAGGCTGCAAGCTCGCGGTCTATAATAGAGTTGCTGAGACAAGCGGAAAACTGCAGCCGAGTAAACAGATAAATAATTGAAACAGTGACAACACATACCTTGCTGCTGTGTGGAGTAACACTTTCATTAGCGGGAGGCGGCGGAGACCAGGCGTGTGCTCAGGGCAGCCGCGGCTGGGGAGCCCCAGACGCATGGGCCTGGCTCTCCGGCAGCTGTGAACAGCAGGGCCCTGCAGCAACCTGGGCCCTAGCACCGGGGTCCCCTGGTGGAATGGAGACCTTGAAGCCTCCTCCTAGGGTCTGTCCCAAGGGTGGCTACAGAAAAACAAAGGCAAGCGTCCTGTACTGATAGACCCTATCTGTCTGTTCCCGGGTCGCTGCTTCTGGTGTGGCCTCCCTCTTGGACTTGCTTCTGGAAGACCAGAGGAGGTTATAAGCAGAACCCAAATCTGACCCTGGGTGACTGGTGTCTGCAGGGGGGTGGGTCCTCAGTGGTGCCACTCTGTTGTCAGCATCCTCTCGGGCCCCCTCCCTCTTGCTCCGGGCACTCGAAGCAGTCACTTTCACAGAGGCAGCTGAGCTGATCCCTCCTGCGTCTGCCCTTGGCTCCCACCACCTGCTCCACCAGGCTGACTCCTCTAGCACCTCCTGCAGAAGCAGCTTTGACTTCACATCCTCCAAGATGCCCTTGTGGGTGCTCCCCGCCCTCAGAAAGTGCCCTTCCCCCTCTTCTGGATTCCCGTACCATTCTGGACCTAACCTCTCAGGGTTTATCAGAAATGGCTGTGATGGCTTGGGCTGGTAAGAGCACCTGTTCTTCAGGCCTGGAATCCACAAGGCAGAAGGATAGAACAGACTCTCCAGTTGTCCCCTGACCTCCTCAGTCACCCCACACAGCATGTGCGCATATACGATAATAGTAAGAACACTAAAAAGAAGAAATAGTTGCAATGTAGTTTATTTGTCTTTCCACAAGTTATTTGCCTTCTAATGGTCCCCTGGCCCTCCATTCTCCCCCTCTTACTAGCTAGCCTGCCCCCTCCCCTGTCTTCACTCTACTGACTAAGGCTCTGGAACCAGGCCCTGATTCCATAGCTCACTCTACAAAGCCCATTCTGGTCCTGCCCACAGTTACCCAGGCCGCACTAGCCATTTCAGCAAAGCAGAGCCTTAGTGGTGGATGGAGCTCCCGGTGCCTGGAAAGACTCAGCAGGGAGAGGCCACTAGCTTCCTTCCACCATGCCTGCAGGGCCTCAGGAGCCCCCAGTGGCCCACCATGCCTGCAGAGCCTCAGAAGCCCCCCCCCCAGTGTTCCACCATGCCTGCAGGACCTCATAAGCCCCCCCATCAGTGTTCCACCATGCCTGCAGGACCTCAGAAGGCCCCCAGCATTTGCAGAATTGAAAGTCCAGCCCCTCCCTGCTCAGAAGCCAAGGCTCTGGTGGCTGGCACAGGTGGGAGAGAGCCAGGGTTACTCACAGGCTGGCTGCTGCCTCCCAGCTCCATATCACAGGACTTTGAAAGAGGGAGGAGGAACATGGCAGGGAATTTCTGCGTGGGGTGCTCTTTGTGGTCAGCTCACACATCTTCCGTCTCCTTCTCTAGGGCGTGGCTTAGGTAGTGAGTGTGGCCTCCCGAGGCCAGAGGCTACCATTCTTTTTTATTAATTAATTTGCTTTTTTTAATTATTTATTGTGCGTGTGTATGTGTGTCTATGGACATGCCACAGTGCACATGGAGATCAGAGGGCAACTCCCAGGAATCGGTTCTTTCCTACCATGTTGAACCCAGGAATCAAATTCAGCTTGTCAGGCTTTGGCTGCAAGCTCCCTTCACCTGCTGAGCCATCTCACAGGCCCTGTGGCTCTTTTACAAATGCCTGTCAGTGGAGTGCTGGGATTCAAAGACCAGGGAGGCCTAGCCAAGGCTATCAGCCTGGCAGCCTCCGTGGATAACGGAGGGGCGGGGCAGGACGGGGCTGGGCAGCTCACCTCTGCAGCACCTGTGTGGGACTCTTCCCCTGCTTAGGGAGGGAGGGAGGGAAAGAGGGAGGGAGGGAGGAGCAAGGGCTGGGACAAGACAAGGGAACTCCTGAGGAAAGCGGTGACCAGGGCCCGCTGGGGACTCACCTGTGGCTTCTCTGCTCTGTGGCAGGTGACAGATGGTGGCACCATCAAGCAGAAGATCTTCACCTTTGACGCCATGTTCTCCACCAACTACTCACACATGGAGAACTACCGCAAGCGGGAGGATCTCGTGTACCAGTCCACTGTGAGGTGAGCTCCCCCCACCCCGCCCCCAGAGCTGGCAAGCATGTGAGCAGGAAGAGGGAGGGGCGGGCCTGGGGCGTATGGTGCCAGCCCTGGACAGCATCCCCTGACCCGTTATGCATGTTAGTCTCTTCTGACGAGGGCCTCTCCTGCCTTTGGTCACCTGGTAAACTCCTCTTCAGTCTTCAGAACCCCACTCAGGCTGTTCCATCACAACAGCAAATTAGCAGACTAGACCGCTCTGGGCTGGATGGCGAGGCTCCCTCAGTCCCCACCCTGCTCCAGGAAGGGGATCTTATGACCTGTGTAAAGTAGCTTCACAGTAGTGTTGGGTATGAACACACACACATCCACACACACCTGCACACAGGCACACGCGCACGGGCATGCACACCCACGTACACATAGGCGCGTATATGTGCACACACACACCTGCGCACTCTTTCCTACTGTATGGTAAACGCTTTGCCTGGTGCTCTCAGAAGGCAGGGCTCTGACAGAACCCAGGCTAGGACACTTGGGTTTGTGGGGCAGTAGGGGCACCCATTGAGTATGTGACACCATACAATCTTCTGAGTCCTGACTGGACAAGGCTCCACCCCTCAACTGGGATTCTCACCGACCCTTCCCTCTGCTCTTAGCACTAGGTCTCTGCCAAGCCCTGGTCGCACATCAGTGCATGACAAGATTTGCAAAAAGAATGGGCCCAGAAAGCCCTGGAGATGCTCCTATGTGGTTGGGGGCATGGGACAGGAGTGTGTTGTTTTGTTTGCCAAAGGTGCTACTGGCTCTGCACATGGGATCTGGCTGTGAGGTTCAGGAGGTGGCTGTGAGCCCCTGTCGGCCTCTGTCGCCCCCCTCCAGGAGCTGGTCCCTCCCCATCTCAGGCACTGATCCAGGACCCCAGTCCCAATTGTTCTTTCTTTCTTTTTTTTTTTCCCCCCAACTGTTCTTTCTTGGAGCACCGGCAGACAGCCAGGGTGCCCTGGGCTTCCGGGAGGCAGGCAGGTACCTTTCTGTATTTTCCCTTCTGAAAAGCAGCTCATGGCAAGGATAAATCAGTTAGTATCAAGATGAGAACAGAGATAAAAAGCATTTTAGAAAGGAAAATAGGTACTGCCCTGGGAGTCACAGAGAGTCCCTCGGCAGGGGACTTCTTGGCTTATAGCCAGGTTTCCCTAAACACAGTCATGGGAGGGGTGGGTAACCCAGCACCCAGCACCCAGCACTGGCAGACCCACTGCTCCCAGTCACGGGTGTCCTCATCCCAAACACACCATGATCCCTTAGCCAGAAGCAAACCCAACTCCCGCATGCACCTCATGCAGCCATGCCCCTGCCCCTGTTCACCGGCATTCAGGAAGCCAGCAGGTGCCTAAAGACCTGGGTTCAAATCCCAGCACAGCTACTGCTTACCTAGTGCCCTTAAACCAGCCCCCCCCCATCCCCTTGGAAAACAGGCTGACCAAATTAATCTTCCTGAATTGTGGAATTTGGTAGAAATTGATGCCCAATGAGACCAAGTCAGATGCTGGCTGCAGGTGATCCAGGATCAGTTTCCTGGTCTCTAAACATGGTTGAGTGGAGCATGTTTGTTGCCGCCTTGGGTGGGTTACTCAGTCTAGGGGTTGTAACCCACCCTGCAGCTAGTTATTCCAGGGTCTCGGAGGGGCGCTACCTGGAAGGGAATGAGCTAGGACAGAAGAATGAGGCTAAGCAGATTTGTCAAAGCCTCCGTTTATTAGGGACGGGTTACAGTTTATATAGGCCCTGCATGAGGACTTGGTGGGCAGGGCACGGGATCTCGCTGCGTGGTCCCGGTCACGTAGGCCAGGTTCATCACATAGGCCAAGAGGTTACATTCGGACAGGTAGGCCAAGAAGTCACAAGTTGCCACACCTGGTTCCCTGGATAGCTGGAATGTGAGGCGCGTTCCGCTAACAGATAAGTTAATTGGGTGTGGGGCAGGTTCTCTCAATAGAACATAATTATGGGTGTGAGGTTCCCTGCAGGCTCCCCAGGGTGATGGTTCCTGTAATGATTTTTAGGGGGGAAATGGCTCGTGACACATGTTCACCCCTGAGTCTCGAGCAACCCTTTGTCCCCACCACAAGGCAAGCTCCACCTTGTGCCAGACCCCCCTAAAGTCTCTGTGTATGCACTTGCTCTTCTGTACCTCACACTCCTCAACAACAGCCTCTGGGACTTGGAAAGGTAGCAACTCTCTACACCCCCTCTCTGCATTTTACTTTATAGCAGGGGTCAAAGTTCAGTAAGGTCAAGGGTCTCACACTGGAAGGACATGAACTTGGTCACACCTCAAGCCACCTCTTCCTACACCTAGACCATGGTGCCGTCTTTGTTTTACAGTTGATAACACAAGACCCAGAGAGGGTACAAGACCCACCCAAAGTCACACAGCAGCAGCAATTTGATCCGATCTTAGGACTTAGGGCCCAGGCGCCTTTCTTTCCCCATGTTCATGCGGGGATTTCTGCAGCCTTCTTTCTGAGTCGAGACACCAGGGGCTCCTGAGCAGAGGGTACCCCAGGGAGCAAAGCCACCATGCTTAGGGGATACCAGGAGACAGTGAAGGAAGAGACGGCGCTGGGAGCATCTCCTGACGCCAAGCCAGTGGAGAAAGAGCTGCCGCGGGTGCCAGGCAGGCAGCAAGGCCCCGTTAGGACTGGTGGCGGGGCTCTGGGCTCCGCATTTACATATAAATGAAGATATTTACAAATTAATGCATCTCGGCCCAGAGTCCCAGCTCTGCAGCTGTCTGAGCTGCTTCCTCTTCAGCTGGGAAAGAGGGGTGAGAATGAGGCTGGGAATATTACCAGGAACCGGCAGAGAACAATTTCCTGGGGAGCCTCAAGGAGCCCCAGGGACTCCCCATGCTTGTCTGCAGCTGGTGGGCAGAGAGAGGGTGCCTCCTGTGGGTGCAGGTGTGCCTCCCTGCAGTGTCACCTTGGGCCATGTTACTGTCCCTCAGTGTGTGATGGACTGGGGAAGTGGGGAAGGGACTGGTGGGCAGCGGAGGAGATCACTCCTCAGACCAAAGTAGGGGGTGGGCTGGGCAGGGAGGAGAGTACCCTGCAGTGTAGGGCAAGAGTACTAGAGTATTAATACTAGGTGCTAGAGGACCACCTACTGTGTAAAATGGTGGGCCACAAAAAGTAGTGTGTGTGTGAGTGTGTAAGTTCACTTGTGTGGGTGCATGCACGTGTGTGCAGGGTGACACTTCCTCAATCTCTCTACCTTATACACTGAAGCAGGGTCTCTCACCTAAACTGAAAGCTCACTTAGTTTCCCTGGTCCAGCTAATAATCTAGCCCTGAGAATGCCCTATGTCTGCCTCTAGGGTTGCTGGGCTCCAGGCAGGCAGGCTACTGTAACCACAAGTGCTGGGGACCTGGACTGTAGTCCTCACACTGATGTAATAATTGCTTTATCCCTGGAGCCATCTCACCAGCCCCCGGAAGAAGTATTTTAGGATGTTGTGGGAGAGTCCCTAATGTGCAGTTTCCTGTATATATATTACACACTATGTGTATATATATTACACACTATGGCAAGGAGGACAGGCCAGGTTTGGCCAGGTCACAGTTTGGCAAGGTTTAGTTTAAGCTATCCAAGCAATTTCCGGCGCAGCCTCTGCTATGCAAATTGGGGCTATGTAAATAAGGGTCATGCAAATAAGAGTTATGCAAATAAGGGCCATGCAAATAAGGGCATTCCTGATCAGAGAGGGTGGGTCTCAGGGAATGGGGGGGGGGGGGGCTTCATGACACAGATGACATCCGAGCAGAGAACTTGAGTATAGACAGCCATGCGTCAGTGGGTGGGGCAGGAAGCAGGAGTCATTTCATATTTGCCGGCCCAGCAAACACGAAGACCCTGAGGTGAGAAGGGCTGCCTGAGATGGAGCATGGCCAGGGCACAAGAAACAACAAAATAAGTAGCAATTTACCCTCAGCTTCCTGGAAGTCACTGAGGGCTGCGGCCCACTGTGACCCATACTTGAAAGCTCACACTGGCTACCGAGCAGAAAGGCAAAGTGATCCACGGAGGAGGCGGGGCCTGATCTCCGACTCCCACAAACAAGTGAGGACACGTGTCCTCTCACCCACGTGGCTGAGAACAGCTGGTTGTTTGAGCACAGCCTGGGGCTCCATGGAGAACTGAGCACACAGCCTTTACCTCCCAGGTTATGATGGCAGGGAGCAGGGTGGGGTGCGGGTGGACACTGTCAGGTAGACACTAAAGGAAGTGACTGTCCCTAGTGGCTCTTGGTTTTGGGTCACCAAGGCGGCACAGCCACGGTATACGGAAGAGGTTGGGGCTTCAAACCTGCCCCTTCCTACCCGTGCTCCCACCAGGCAGCAGGATCCCCCAGGAATCAGTGCATCCTCCCCACCTCAGCACCCAGAATCTGCTTGATATTTATCGAGGGGTACTGTGTAATGGGGGGTGCCAGAGCTGAGGAGCCGCTCAGACACAGGCCGAGATGACTCAGCTGGTCAGGCCAAGGAGATGGCGGTGATGGTGGCATTGAAAGTGAATTTAAAATCAAAAGGGGCTTCAAGACAAAAGGGTTTCTAAGTGGAAGGGACAGTGTGTTCAGAGGAGGTGGGGCACCCGGAGAGGGACAAGGCCACTCCAAGTAGGCAGACAATGGTCTTTACAGAGAAGCCCTCTGGAGTCTGCTGTAATGAAAACACACTTCTGGGTTTTAAATAGACACATTAACAGCTCAGTCCAAAGAGCCGGGCATCCGTGGCCCTTCGAGACCTTACACGTCTTCCCCTGAGGGTGTATCTTAGTATGTGGCTTGCTTGAATGCTTGTCTTGCCATGAGTATAAAGAAAATGCGGTGCCAGCCTCGATGATTTGGAAGCCTGAATTCTTGGCCCCTTGGTCCTCTGGTTGCCATCATAAGCAATGCATCTGTTTACCCCCCCAAAATGCATGTAATGGGAACTCCTTGCCCATTGGGTGGTCACTCG